CAAGTCCCTTTTTGCGTTTCAGGAGGTGAGCTTGGTGCTTTGTCAGCACTCCAAACTTCAGCTTACACTGGGAGCAGCAGTCCTCTGGGTCGGACTCCACATGAAAATGTTGCATCAATTTAAACAAGGCTGTAGTTCAATATATCCATCTCCACTGGTGAAACTAGTTCAGGAAGTTCCCGTCCCCACAGCACGTGTTGTGGAGCTTGGCCACAACATGCAATTCCACAACCAGTTCTACTGGCACACCTGAAGAAATGTTTTGTGGCGCTGCAGGGAGACTCATCAACTAAAACTTCTTCTCAATACACTGAAAACATGGTACTGCCTCATACCATTTCAATAGATGTAGTTGAAATACTGCAAATCCCTTGACAGAAACATTTCAGAATTTGAGAAATTCTGAAGGGGCCTCCTTGGCCATGCTGACAGATTTGCACCAAGCTGGGACCCTCTCTTACACTAACAGCCAGATCTAAACTCCTGGAGTAAAATATATATATAGTTTTTTAAATGTAGAAAACAAAAAAAATCCTCTCTATGTATTTTAGTAGCACAATGCCTTGTGACACTAGGCACAGCTTGTTTTGGTTACGTTTATGGACTCTGTGGAGATTTCTGTGGGAGAGTACCTTTGTAGATCTACTCCAAACATGAACATCACCATGTGTGCCATTGTGCCAGAGGACCTCAGTCCCAATTAGATGACTTCTCTCCTGGGACAGCCTGGAACAGTATTGCAACCAGGTCAGCTAGCAGGAGCTGTTTCAGTAACTGGCAGGGGAGTTCCAGCCCTGTGTTTTTATCTGCAGTGACTCCCTCACTGCTGGTAACAGCTGCAGCTCTGGATGTGAGAAGAATCAGCTTTGCAGGATTAAATTCAGATGGCTGTGAATGCAGTGTCATTGATTTCAGCAAATGGCTGGGCTTACAGGTCAGTGGTATTTCCTCGCTGCAAGGAAGAGCAGCAGTGTTTGAATGTCACACCCAGTTGCACTATATCAGGAAATAATTTGGGTATTTTTGGGGTATATTCTCCACTAGTGAAAGTAGAGAAAACAGAATTCTGTTAGGAGCAGCAGTTATCTTAGAGACATTAAAAAAAAAACAGTTGGTGGTAAACAGTAGCACGTTCAAAAAACATGATACAGATGATTCTTCAATTTCAGTTGTAAAAAGTTTATATTCTGGAAGAAAACTAGAGCACTGACGGGGAAGAGTGATACAGGTGGGACACTTGGCACAGACCAAAGGTCTGTGCAGGAAAGGATAACAGATGCAGGTGGCATTGGGCTGAAGACCCTCCTGTAGAGGAGGGTGGGAGATGCAGAACCAGCAGAAAAAACCTGGACACAGTGCAAAGTCACAGGTTTGTTCAAATAAACTGGGAGGAAGGAGATCACTGGGTGAGAGAGGGAAGCTTCAGGAAAATGTGGGAAATAAGTAAGCAGGCCTGTCAGCCTCTTGCAGTGCTCAGGAGGGGATGTTAGGACCAGCTCCTTGGCAAGAAGAAAGGTGTGAGTAGTTTCAGAAATGTCCTGAAACAGAAAGTGAAACAAAAGAATGTGTGGTGAGAAACCACCAGAGCTAATACAAAAAGGACAGAGAAACAGTTACATTGGGATTAGCAAAGGGGCTGGTCAGATGGACAGCAGACGGGAAACAGAAGGCATGCCAGAGGAGAGAAATACAGCAACAGGGTGCTGGGAGGAGCCTTGAGAGGTCATCGTGCCCCAAAGCACCTTAGTACCTTCCTGTAGGTAACAACGCTGATGTCATCTGGAAGGTGACACTTCATGCAAAGACTATGTTTAACCAGTCCTGGGACAAGGAACAGGCAGGGAGAAGCAACTGGAATGGGAGTACACAAATGCCAGGAGCCTGGGCAACACAACACAGGAACTTAACCAACTGGTACATGTTGTCAGACCAGGTGCTGCAAGCATGCAAGAAAGAGGGTGGAATGGGAACTGTAACTGCAAAACGGGTGTTTTAGGAAATGTGTTATCCAAGAATGAGAAAAATAAAAGCACTACAGTAACAATTAGTGGTGAGTAGCTTCCTAAATAAATAAATAAATAAAACAAGGGTTAGTCGAGAACTCAAAGGACATAGTGGGAATTAAAAATACTTTCAGGGTACAGTTTTACCTATGAAAGGGGTTACTATACATAATGCAGCCTGCTCTAGTGATAAGCTGGGAAGTCTCATATTCCTAGATGGAAAGAGACAAGATAGGATAAGACAGTCAGGTATAAAAGGGAAGAAAAAAAGATATATATAAGCAGAACACAACAAATCACAAGTCAAGAAACACGTGCCCATCCAAAAATCGTTCTCACAAAGACAAGAGCTGCATCTCAAAAGCCAAGCAGGCATCGGGAAGCAAACTTCCTAGAATGGATGATTACGTTTCGCTGAAAGACGAGGAGCCGGGGCTCTCTGTCTGGCGTGCTCCAATGTGAAATCCTTTCAGAAATGTACTTCTGGTCTTTTGTACTAAACTATAAAGATTTTTTAAGAAGTTGCACTAAACTAAGACCTGAAATGGAAACTGCACAAAGAAATCCTATACTATTGAATCCCTCTTCTCCAGGCTAGGCAGAGGTCACAGAGCAAACTCCTCAGATGCTGAGTACAGATCAGCTGCAGCCACTGGTGAGGACACACATCCCAGTCCTCTCCTTCCCATATGTTTCACTCAATGCATCAGAACATCAGAAGTGAAATGCCCAAAGAAACCCAGGTGCTCTAACCCTCCAACAAATGGGGCACAATTAGCTCAGGTGTTTCCTGATGTGAGATTCATATGGCCAATTTCAGCTACGCTTTAAAAAACTGAAGTGATTAAATTGATATTTTAACCCTCAAATTGCAGTCTCTGCTAACAGTGCATGCCATTTTTGAAATCTTGTACCAGAGAGAGTGAAAATTACCCCATTGTGTCATGCTGTCTATTGAAGCACATGAACTGTCAAGCAGGAATTTGGTGGCAGTCCCCGCAAGGAGAACCAGGCTGCACCAACCTGCAGCAGAGCAGGACAAGGGTTCTGGGCACTATGTGGAGGAGTCAGTGGCTGACAAGATCCCCAGTAGTGATGAAACATCTGCTCCCTTCCTACCAAGCAAATGCATATACATTAATAAAAGGTGGTGCAAGCTGTGAACCTGCACCAATGAAAGGAATGGTGATGAAGAAACACACAATGCACACCATCATCAAAATGTCCATCACACAGCTGGATAACCATATTGCACCATGGGTGAGCAACTGGCTCACAGGTTGGGCACAAAGAGTTATAGTGAATGGGGCTTGTGTCCAGTCACCAGTGGGGTTCCACAGGGCTCCATCCTCAGCCCTTCAACATCTTCATAAATTACTTGGATGAAGGACTCAAAGGAATACACTAAGTAAATTTGCTGACACACCAAATTGGGAGGACGTGCCAACTCCCTCAAGGACAGGGAAGCTCTGCAAAGAAACCTCAACAAATTAGAAAGATGGGCAATCACTAACCGTATGAAATTTAACAAGGGCAAGTGCTGGATTCTGCACGTGGGATGGGGCAACCTCCTGGGGAACAGGAGGCTGGAGAGCAGTGCCACAGAAAGGGACCTGGGGGTCCTGGTCAATGGCAAGTTGAGTCATTCTTTTGTTTCCTGGTCAATGGCAATATGAGTCAGCAGTGCTCTGGCAGTCCCCAAATCTTTGTTCGCAAAGCCTAGCCATGATGGCTCTGGCAGCCCTGGGGGCATCAGGCAAAGCATCACCAACTGGGCAAGGGAGGGGATTGTCCCACTCTGCTCTGCATTGGTGTGGCCTCACCTTGAATATTGTGTGTGGTTTGGGGCACCACAATATAAAAAAGACATCTAAAGCAGGGCCACGAGAATGGTGAAGGGCCTTGAGGGGAAGCCATATGACAAATGACTGAGGTCACTCGGTTTGTTCAGCCTGGAGAAGAGACTGAGGGGAGACCTCATTGTGGTCTTCAACATCCTCACAAGGGGAAGTGGAGGGGTAGGTACTGATCTCTTCACTCTCATGACCCGTAAGAGGACTCGAGGAAATAGCATGAAGCTGCTATTTCAAAGCAAAGTAGGTTTAGGCTGAATATCAGGAAGAGGTTTTTCACCCAGAGGATGGCTGAGCACTGGAACACACTTCCCAGGGAAGTGGTCCCAGCACCAAGCCTGCCTGAGTTCAAGAAGCATTTGGACAACACTCTCAGGCACATGGTGGGATCTTGGGGTTTCCTGAGCAGGGCCAGGAGTTGGACTCGATGATCTTAATGGGTCCCTTCCAACTCAGTATATTCTAAGATTCTATGATCTCAGTAAAAATTTCAAAAAGCAGCATTGCAATGACATTGGAAATAAACAACTGAGATCCTAAAGAACCAGGTGTACAACAGAATTTCCCTGAGGAAAGTTAGAGTTACTTGTTTACCCTGCCTTCAGTGATTTGTCATGAAAAGATCTAGTTTTGAGCATTATGCATTTAAAATAGAGATTTCACCGCGGAACAGCGATCAGCAGAAGTGAGGTTGTCACAAGGGCCAAAATCACAAGTTCACGGAGGGAAGGCTGCAACAGCCTCACTGGCCAGCTCTTAACACATCACTCAATCCGCCGTGCCCGAGCCGCACAGAAGTTGCGATGCCGCTGCCTTGAGGACGACAGAGGAAGAGACTCCACCGCTCTGATCCCCTCGGCTCCCTCGGAGCTGCTCCCGGGGACAGCCGGCCCGCACGCCACGACCGTGCTCCCTGGCACCGCACCCGGCCTCTGCGGCCCCCGACCGAGGGAGGAGACCTGCCGGGGGGCCGCGGGCGGCGTGGCCATCTCCCCTCCTCTTGCGTGCAGGGGACGGGGCTGCTCGCGGACGCAGGACCGACCTGCCCTCCGCGACACGTCCCGGCAGGAGCGGGGCCCCGCCCCGCCGGTGAGGAGCCGGACCTCCCCGGGCAGCGCGTCCCGACGGCGGGAGGCGGAGCCCGGCAGGTCCGGGCCGCCGTCGGTGCCCGATGGGGCTCCTCGGAGGCCGGGGGCGGCTCGTCCGCCGCCGCGCTCCCGCAACCCGCCCGCAATCCCGGCACCGCGCTTGGCGTCCCGCCCGCAATCCCGGCCCCCCGTTCCCGCTGCCGCCCCCGCCGCGCTGCCACGTCCCCGCCCGGCGGGGCCAATGGGCGGCGGCGCCAGGTGTGTGTTACCTGCACCACGTGGGCCGGGGGTGGGCAGGTGGTGCCGCGGCCCCGCGCTGAAAAGCCCGCAGCCATTGCGCGCTTCCTAAGGGTGCAGCCGGAGTGGGAGCGGCCGCCGCCCGCCTCGGGAAAAAGGGGGTGGGAAAGCGGGGGGAAGCCGTGCGCCTCCCCCGCGCCAGGTCCTTGGGGAGCGAGGCTGCAGGTGGGGGCTCTGCCGCTTGGGTCTCGCCTGGAAGCGCCTCGGGCAGGGAAAGTTTCCGCTCTCTTCTCGTCCCCTTCTCCTCCTTCCTTTCCTCCTTTTTCTTTCTCTCTTCTTTCTTTCTCTCCTTTTTATCCTTTCTGCTGACCCTGTGGCACCATGACGGCGTCTCCCGACTACCTGGTGATCCTCTTTGTGACCACGGCGGGCACCAACGGGGCAAGGCTGGGCTCAGACGAGCGAGAGCTGCTCCAGCTCCTGTGGAAAGTGGTCGACCTGAGGAGTAAGGAGGTATTTTCACCCGAGGGGAGAGCACCCCGACCTGCTGCTCCCCTTGGCCCTTGCCATGCTGGGTGCGGGTAGGGTGGTCTCAGCGCTGGGCTGGCAATGGGTGCTCCAGGCTGGAGCAAGCTCTGGTGGAGGGCAGGGGCTGGTGCTGCAGGTGAGGACCCCCAGCCCGGGGAGCTGACTCACCCCTCCTCTGCTTTCTCTGGAGCTGGGGCACCTGCATGACGTGCTGGTCCGGCCTGACCACCCAGAGCTGACGGCTGAGTGCCAGGAGATCACCCAGGTGGATGTGGAGAGCCTGGCACTGGCTCCACCGCTGGAGCAGGCACTGAGACAGGTGACACCCCATAACTGGCTGCTGGGTGCTGGTCTCCCTTGGGAGCTCCCCCGTGGGGTAGAGGCAGTGTTATCATCCACTTATGCTTTCCACCCCACCGTCAGGACAGTGGAACCTGGCACAGGGATACCACTGATCTGTGTGGGCCAGGCAGCCTATATGTGGAGGGCTTTGTGCGCATTTCTTCCTTGCTTTTTGCTCATTCATATTGTGAGGACCTGACTCCCAAGTGAGGAAGGTCAGAGTCAGATATTCCCCTACCCTGCTCTCCTGCCATGCTGGACCCTGAATGAGTCTCACCTGAGGGTGAGCCCTAATCAGTGTTGGAAGAAGCCAAGTTTAGGTGTCCCCTGAAAAGGCTGGGTGGTGGCAGGCCCTGTCAGAGTTTGTGTTCATCAGTCCTGAGAAGGTGACAGTACTAAAGCCCCTAGGTGTGTGTGATTTCCATCGAGGGTAGGGCTGAAAACCTGTCTCCTTTCCAACGTGTTTGACTACCGTGTTTGAAAAGCTCTTCTGCCCCAGGACTGCCTCAGCTCTCTGCGACCAGCTTTATGTCTCATTGCAGTGCTTTTGCAAATGTTTCTCAAAAAGGTTGGGGTTTTTTTCTGGGTTGTGGACTGTCTGTGTAGCCATATTTCCTTAAAAAGGGGAAAAGTGGTTTCCAGTGATGATAACTATGAAAGTTAGTATGTGCCAAGCTAGTAAGAAACAAATCTACAGAAGTGAAGTAGTGGGCTTATGCAAAAAGGAATTCTAGCTCCGCGTTCCTGCTGACCAGGAATAACATGTTACCAACTGATGACACTGCACAGTGCAGCTATTCTGATCTCTTTAACATGTATGTTTTTTCTTGTTCCTGCCTACAGTTTAATCAGTCTGTGAGCAATGAACTGAATATTGGTGTAGGTACTTCCTTCTGTTTCTGTACTGATGGACAGTTGCACATTAGGCAGGTTCTGCACCCTGAAGCTTCCAAAAAGGTATGTAGTTGTAGCTTAAATTTGAATCCTAATGTGCTTTCTATGATTTCTTGCAAAACTGCTAACTTCTCTTTAGTATGAGGGTACCTCCACACAACCATAGCACAAACATTGCTCGTATGTTAATGTGCTTACCAGGATAAAGAGCCTGTCCATGTGGAAGACATAGACATAGACAGTGCCCTGTGCCTATGTAGCCTTGAGATGCCCTTTTAATTTAAATCAAAAGGAAGATACTCTTAACTGTTTGAGAGAGGAGCACTGACAGTACTCATAGCTTCTACAGCTGTAGGAGCTACAATGGATTAAGAGGTGGGATTTGGAAATGTTGCTAAATAGTTAACTACCTTAATCGTAAACTGTCTTTTGAAATTTTACATTCACGTTTAGCTTTGGCAACTCTCAATCTCTGTGTATTCAGCTGACACTCTGAGGGCGGTGTTCATATTTGTAAGGAGCTGAACAGTAGTTTGAGGCAGGCTATGAGTGATGATTAGTCTCATAGTCTAGAGTTTTCTGTAACTTCAGAGTTGCCAAATCGCTAACATTGTTACAAGGTCCTACCTACTTTTCATTAGTGATAGGGTTCCAGCAGTATGCTGTCTCTCTCTAGTTCTGAAATAACTGCTTCAATATTAATAACACCTAATTTTGTGGTATGAACATGCATTGCTCTGTAACTGAGCTGTTCTGCTCCTCTCTTTGCAGCTGACTTTTGTGCCCATGAGTTTGCTGCTTCATCTTTGAAAGGGCACTGCTGCAAGTCTGTGTTATTACAAAACTGATACTGAATGAATTTGGTTGCAATACTTGTTGGGGCTTTAAGTGTTTATAGCTTTGAATGCTTAGAAGAGAAATAGCATGATTCATGGTAAAGGGACAGTCCTGTAACTTGTCTTGTATGATGTATAATGTGAGAAAATGTGGAAACAGGTTTTTAGTGGACTTTCTTCTTGGTTAATAAGTCTCTTCATCCATTTAAATTATGTGGATAAAAGAAAGGACAACTCCTACAATTATTTAAGTTGATTGATGTTGGGGATAGGCAGCCTTTTTCTATATCATCACAGGGTCACAGACAGGAATCAAATCTTCATCAAAATATGGTCTTGCTGTTTTGTTAAGAATTATTCATCTACAGTTTGTTCTGTGCTGCCTGCAGATAAAGTAAACCAGAGGCATATGAGACTCTTAAGTAGTTCTTTTGTGAATACCCTAATTCAGAGATCTGACTGTGTGATCACTAAAATCCAGATAGGCAGAAATCACTAGGCTCTTGATTAAGATGCCCATTCTGAACCCAGCTAGCAACTCGTGGTATTCAGAGAATGAATTGGCATCAACTATTCCAAGTGAAAGTTTCATTTTACATCATGGAAGAAAGAGTCATCCTAAAACTAAAGCAGAAAATCTTGGCAAGCACACTTGCATTTTCATAAGTTTGTCTTTAAGAGTGTTGTTTGCCTAATGCAATGTCCATATGCTAAGATAAGCTCTAACATTCTCAAAGCAGAACTTGTTTTTAGAGCCTAAACTTCTTTCTTTGGGCTTCCTAAGTATGCTTTCACATAGCCTCTTATTCTGTTATAATGTCAAGATGCTAACTAGTAGTTATATCCCAGAAAGCCTGTACTTTTAGTCTAGAGAGCCTTGCAAGCAACAAACAGCCAAAAGGAGTATGAAGTATTCTGTCTGTGGGGAACCTCTGGGGTGAAGAGCTAACTGAAGGAGTAAGGTTTTGTGTTGGTTTCAACAGCTTCCCCCAAGACTTCTCCCTGTCTTTTCTTTGACACCCCCCCAAAAAAATTAAAGTGTGTGGTAAATGTAGTGGGGAGGCAAAAGGGGTTTTATGGGTTTCTAGTGGGCTACCTAACTTGCTTCTGGCTTCATACGCTGTAATTAAAGCAGTTACTATGCATAGATTGCCAAGCTCTGCACCATGTCAAACCCTCATCTTTTTTGCTGGGAATCAATATTTGAAGTGTGACTACTCTCTGAAAACTCAGCCTTGTCTATACACTGAAATATCATCTGCTCATCTCGCAAATTGTGCTTGGTTCTGTAAGCTGAACTGAGTGCCCTGTGGCTTTTTACAGTTAAAATTGGAATCAAGAACTGATGATAAGTTACAATAGCAGGCATTTGCTCTTGTACATATATATTGGATTTGAGGCTCTAGTAATAATTGCAAATATTTCTCTGGCAGCACAAAAGCACATTTCTCTTTTTAAACTGTATAGAGAGAAAGCTGCTTAAGCAAAGAAGTTTATAAAAATGTACTTACCTGGCTAAGAAGAGTTACGTGAGTTTCTCTGTAGCAAAGGATGCTTGTGTTTCTTACCTATTATATAGAAATTGTTAGACAGTTTGGTATCTAAAGACAAAGTACATTAAACTCACCCTTGACAGCAGTTACTCTGTTCCTGTTACAGAATATCTTACTGCCTGAATGCTTCTACTCCTTTTTTGACTTGCGGAAAGAATTCAAGAAGTGTTGCCCTGGCTCACCTGAAGTTAGCAAACTCGATGTTGTGGCCATGACAGAATGTATCCTTTTAACAGTGATGGTGTCTGCTGCTGTTACAGTCTTGGCTAAATTCTAGGACAGAGGTGTGTGAGTAATGCTTGCGACATATGCTTAGGGGTGATATAACTTTAATGAGTGACTCGGAGCTGTACTGAGCTTTCTCACAAAGATAAAAACATATGAAGATGTGTGCTTCCATGGAGAAAAACCTGTATTTCTTCTTGACTTCTATGTTTTGTTTATCGTCTTTATAGTTTTCTCTCTTTAAACTTCACAGTTTAGTGTAACTGGCACATCTGTTCAAATTGCTGTTATGAATCATAACATTAAAGTTTGAGGTGGTTCATTGCATCAGTTAGATTTTTATCTAATTTTTAGACAAGACTGGATGTTGGGGGACTCTTAATTTTCAGGAGAGGGAATGGTTATTCTTGATGTGAACTTGTAGTGAATCTCCAATGCAGGAGTGAACCTAAGGCAGGGATGCTGTTGGCATGTGTGATATTCAGTCTCCTGGGAGGTGCATATGTTTCACCTCACAAGGCTCGGCTGGCACTAAGATGCTGTCAGTAATATGTTTCCATTTTCAGTGACAGGGATGTCTAAAATTACTTTCTGAATAGTCTGAAGTGGTCTGTAACCTAGTTCTGTCTGGCTCTTTACCTAGTCTCAGCATGCTTTTGTTTGTATGCCATGTACAGTCAGGAGGGCTGAGGCTGTGAATGATTCTGCAGTGCCTTCTTCCTTGCTTCCCTGGCAGTCTCTCCTCTTGCTACAAGCTTCAGTCCTCATCTCGAGCATACTCTTGGACACAGAAACACTTGACTTCCCTATTGAGCTGTTGAAGTATTGATCACAAAAAGCTACCTAGGAAGGAGCAGTAAAGGAATTTGAAGTTCTTCTCTATTATTGGTAGTTGTTGTGGCTATTGTTTTTAATAACTTTGACTAGCTTACTGTGTCTGTAGAGCGCTTGCCATTAAGAGCTGATGTCTGTGGCTTCTAAATTATTTTGTCCTTTCACTGCAGGACTAGTATTGCCTGGGCTTTGTACCTGTGTCAGGGGGCATAAAATACATACGTATTTTTGGTTTGTTTTTTTTTTTTTGTATTTTACCATAAGGTTGAATACTGGAGGCTGCCTGCTCTGCTTTGTCATCTGCGAATTAAGATTAATCTCTGCTAGTGAAGAGGCAGAAACTACTTCTCCCCCTACTCTGAAGCAAAGCAGTACACTTAAAGTAGGAGTCTGACTGACTATGTAGAAAAGTGAAATAAAGGCTGTGTTGCATAGAAACTGAATGTTGGAGGCTTCTTGAACTTATGGTCAAATGTAATACACTGTTTAGGGAATACTTTGACATGAGCTAGAGAAGTTAAAGACAATGAGCTATTTCAACTGTTTTGGAGAGTTACCTTTGCTTTCTTTTCATGTGAATGTCTGTGGTATGTTTTGCCACTGTGGAAGCAGTTTTATGACTGTAGCTGTCTAGAGTGTCACTGGTCAGCTAAAGCATGGTGAAGGACTGTGTATTCCCTGGCTGCTGGGAGAGGAAAGTAGACCACCCTGTGTTACCTGATTGTCAGGAAGCCCCTAAAGAGTCAGTACCATCTGAGAGTGATTTTGTCAGATGCCAGCAGTATTTTCTCCAAGTTCCTAGGGGCTTGGTCAGTCTATCCAAAAGCACTCAGCTTGGTCAGTCTATACAAAGGCACTCAGTATGAGTCGGAATTCTGGATACGATATGCTTCTTAAGGTATATAAACCTAACTTCATTCTGGTCTTATATTAATCTTTGTGGTTTGTCTTGTTTTGTAACTGCTAATGTTCTTATTTGTAAAGTTGCTACGGTTATGCAACATGGCTAAAATAGACTGTCTCTGCCCTATGTTGTTTACGAGTGTTGGGGACAAGAGGATGAAGATACCAAAAAGGGTAAAACAATTTTTGTTTTCCTTTTATTGACAAATATAATGATTTTTTTTTCTCCTCACCTTGCTGAAGTGTACCAAATGAAGCTGTATAAATTAATTGCACTTGGAGAGTCTGGACATGTATGTAATGTTTGAGATAAAAAGGTTGTTGAAGCAGGTGCTAAGTCTAAAGACTAGTTCAAACAGTTGTATGCAGAGTTGTTTGGGTTTCTTTTCCTTGATGTGTGGATATGCTGTGGGGGACACAGAAACAAATGCATTAGGTTGAAATGAAACTGAAGATTAGTGCACAGAATCTGACCAAGCTCTTGTTATTCTTGTAGAAAGTGCAGAAATTCAGCCCCATTGCTAAAGAGGCTGCATGAAGGGAATCTTCCATGATTTCTGCCACATAAACTATACTGTGCTGCTTTTCTTAGCATTTGTTGAGGATAGAAGGTTTTAGTACAGGGATGGGGTACTGACTAGGGATTCAAGAAATGTGTATTTGCAAACTGGTAAGAACAGGAATAGAATAATTTTTGAGCACATCCCTTCATATACTTACATCTCCATTTATCTGTGTGTAAAATGGTTGTGGTCAGTAAGAGGAAACTTGTATGATATAAAATAGTTAAGGGAAAGCTGGGTATTAATCTGCAGTTACTTAAATTATTAGAAGTCTTCAAAAGCTTTTATTTTTATGTGTAACACTTGATTAAACAACAAACTGCATGCAAATGGAGGATGTACTCTATTGCTCCCAATAATCAGGGGAGATAACTTCCTACTGCACAGTCATTCTAGATATATATTTCAGTATCTAACACACTGGATAGTAGGGAATTAACTGTGTATTTCTTGCAGACAAGGCAAGCATAATCTTGAAAAAGAACATAGAGATAATAAACCGAATAATTGACTGGGTTATTCTTCCTTTAGAAAATCCTTTGGGGACCTATTCTTTCAGCAGACTACTTGACATTTGTGTACAGCAACGACACCATTCCAAAAGCTCAGGGGAAAACTTTATATATCTTCCCTCTTCCTTCCTCCAAGAAATTATACATTTCATGTACAAATAGCCACTGATTTCTTTTAATTCAAGGTAAAGCAAGTCTTAGAATGCCATGAAATTTGAGGGACCAAGGAAGAACTGAAACTAGTTGTAACTGCTCAATCTCTGAGTGCTACTTTGCTTAACTCATGGTCTCAAAACAGTTCTTAATGTAGGAGACAGTCTTCTGGCAGAATTTATTTGGAATTGTGTAGGTGTAATGACAGCAGGACAATGATGAGAAATTTCAAGTAACAAAACTTGAGAGAAGTGATCATGTCTCAGCAGAGAAAGGAACTTGGATCTGTTGAAATCTTTTTTTTTAATGTGTAAGCATACAAAAGGAGCAGGGTAGTTCTTGCACCCTCTGTACCTCCCATACTTGCTGCACTTCTTGATTTGCAAAGCTTGCCGAGCCAGTTTTCACCCTGTGAGTGCCTTTAGGGTGGAGTGAACAAAGCTTGCATGACTATTCATATTAGGTCTGCAGAAGACTCATCCTTTGCCTCGAGATTGGGTGTGCAGGAGCCATTAAATGGCAAATAGGTCTTGCTTCCTCCAGTGCTTGGTTTGCTCCACTTGTGAACTGGATTTATGAGAATAGCTCCTTACTAGGAGTATCTGACCATGTTCTGAGTAGGAACACTGGTGCACTTCAGAACAACCTGCTTAATGTGCTGGATACTGTAGTCCTGAAACTTGGTTTGTTGAGGGTTTATTGTTTTGGTTTTTTGACCTGGGTGGCTTGCAAACATGATGTGGAGCACAGTTAAAACCAATAGTGCCTAACTCTGGCAATGAAAAGCCCTTAACTGGGCATTGCCTGAGAATCTTGGATATTGCTATTTGTATTTCCTGTGATAGTACTCAGGAACTGGGTAATATCAGATTACCTTTATGCAAAGTGTTATTTAAAAAGATCTAATCTTCTGTCTAAGGAGACTTAAATAAGAAACAGAACAAAGGGGAAAGGGTCAATGCAGAGCACAATTGCAATGCTGTTTCATGTCATCTCAGGTTAAGTTAGTTGTTCAGTAAGAAAGGAGTTAAGAGACTGAGAAATGGAAGAGACGGTGGAAAGGAAGAAGTCTTGGAGGGCACTGACAGTAAGTGAAGCTGTGGTGATGAATCTGAGGAAGCTATCTAGAAACTTCTTCCATGTTATAGAGGCCACCATGATGTAGAATATGCCTTTCCTCCTGGTCCCTTTAACTTCCTGAGTGTTGCAGGAGGTGGTGCCATAGCTGCACAGCAAGATTAAGTAGTTCCTTGTTTCCCATCCTGCCTTATTTGGGAGTATCATTTACTTGTTGCTTTGTTAGGAATATACATTTGTATGCTACTGCATATAGTGGCTTTAGACAGCCAGGTCTGGTTTGTAGCACTTCTTTAAATGTGAACTTAGACTATCCACAGCAATTGCCTCTTTTCAATTGCCCAAGAGAGGCATCCTTTAAATAAAAATGTACACAAATGTGTATGATCTCCTATCTCTTCACAGAACCAGGGGTGGGTTTTATAGAGACTATTCAGTTAATAGAAGTGTTGAGAACTTCTAGTGTTTCTGTCCGCAGGAGTCCACCTCTATGTAATCGGTCTTGTTCATTAGAATATGGGTTTTCACTTAAAAGCATGTTAATAATAGTGACTTATGTGCAGAAAGCTATCAATTCTTCTCTCCGATCTTAGCTGAAAGCTTTGCTTTTAACTAATCGGAAGTGAAGGTGTGAGCAATTTCTTACTCCTGCTAATGTTTATGACTTTCTTCCTCCCCTCCCACTGTGTTTATATTAATCTAGAGTTTGGCACAACTGACTCTGTCTGACATCTGGTACCAGCTTGCATTGGCGCTGGGGTGTTTTTAGGGACTACAGCTTCTGTGGATCAGTGTCTTCAGAAAACGTTTTCATTGAAGGAAATGAACATGGGGTGGTGGAGTTGTTTGTTTTCCTTGTGTGATGGCCCCTCTTCAAATTCCCAGCTCCTTCACACTGCTGCATTCCCTCTCTGGCAGCTGATCGCTTGTAGGGATCTTTGGCTCTGCACAAAGGAAATATTGAAATGTCTTTTCAGTTCTGACAGCATAGTCTAACAGCCAAGTGTATGTGTGTGCACATGTGTATGCATGTCCCCTGCTGGAATAGCTATTGAAACTGCTGCCCAATTTCTCTTGATTTTTGACAGAGGAAAGACATTTCTGAAGTCTTCATAAAAATGTGTCAGGCAAGACCAGTGTTCGAATACCTGCATCTTCAGCAGCTTGTGTTTCCCTGAACAGACAGTAGAGACTCTGCACAAGCCCAGTGTGGAGCTGTTTGCTGCAGGGGGAAGGATGTTGGGAAAAGGAGGAGATGCACTCCTCTGCTCTAATACACAAGGTGCCCAGAAACATCTGTGTGGTACTGCTTAGGTACCCTCTCTGCAAGGGAGTCTGTTTGTGGGTTACTTTTCTTTTCAACCCCCTCTTTCCCAGGGACAGGGGGAGGAGGCAACGTCAAGTTTAAAGCTTAGGAAGAGATACTACAATGAAGAAATTTTTTATTGTCATAAATAGTGTAATCTCTTAAACTGTGTTTTTGAGATTATTCAGGTTTTTTAGCTTGGTTTTTAAGACAACTATTTAATTTTCTCAGTACTTTACCCCAAAGAAGGTACCAGGAGGGAGGATAAAGGCAATGACTAGCAAACTATTTATAGTCAAGCAGTTGGAGGGGAGGAATCACTGATTTAAGTTGTTTTTTTTTTTAAACTATGATAATTCACTTCAAATGTTCTAAGACTAAACATCATCCTCTAACCTTCCATACTCTAGTGCACACTTAAAACCAACAAAGCCTCAAAATCAAGTTAACCTCAAGTGTATTGTGTTGGCACAGCAGCTTTCCTTTTGTTGCTGTGGAAGAGGAATGCATTAATTCAGTTGAAATTATTTTTCATCTCACAACAAGACAATTTTAAAAAAATTTTGTTTTGTAGAACCGACTTGCAGTCATCCTGTGAATAACGGGTAAGACTCTATTTCACAAAGAAATTTGCACTGCCTCACCAGTTGATTAGATGATACAGCAAAGCTTCTGTGAGGTGTTTGTTTCTAACAGGAACTGTTCTGTTCCCTGCACTTCATGTAGGCATCTGCCAACTCAAACTTTGCTCAGCTCTAGGTGAAGAAAGCTTTTTATTTTTTTTTTTTTCTTTTAAGAGGAAACATGCTGTCTTGTACTATGAAGCAACTTTTGAGCACCAAAGTGCAGGCTCTTGAGCATTTGAAATGTGCCTAATGTAGTTTAGGGGGGATGTGGGCAAGTTTTCAATGTCTTGCATTACTGTACTGCCGTGCCAGCGTGGGTCTGGTTTGAGAAACTTTCACTTTGGCTCTGAAGTCTGGATGCAAAGTGATAAGGCAAGTAAAAAATTGCAAGTCCTATTCCCAGATTTCTGTATGTTTCTTATTCTGTTCTTGATTACTTTTTTACCCTACACTCTTCAAAGAAGGGGATGTGAGTGAAAAAGACCTTTTTAAAAATTTGCTTCATGAAGTAGAGTTGCAAGTAATCTTAGTCCTGTAACCTGGTGTTGGAGAGGGGCAAATATAATGGAAAAGGGAGACGTACTGTAGTAAACTGTTTGAAGTTGTGTGAAAAAGGGTGGTATATACAACTTAAATCAGACTCCGTTTGCGAACGTGTGGGTTTTATTTGGTCTTTCTATGGTCTGTCTTTCCAGGACAGGGCACTTCCTGCTCTCTATTGCAGTCATTTCCAAAATCATTCAAATTGAAGAAGATATGGGTTGCGGAACTGGTTTGCATCTTGAGAAAACACAAAAGTGGTGGATTCTTACCGGATTATCAAAATGCTTCTGTATAAGAGCACAAAACTTGCGTTGTAACTTCTAATAGGCAAGGTTTAGACGAAGTGCCATTTGTGGGTTTTGTTCAAGTGGTAAGATGCTTATTCTGCTTTAGGATTTACTTATTCAGAAAGTGTGTAGTATATCCTCCTATTTCTGGAGCTTTTAGTTTATTATTTGCTTCTTCTTCTTCAAATCTTTCCCTAGAGATTAAAGATGATGTTAATTAAAGAGGACAGGACTCCAGTCTCTTCCACATGCAGAAGTGTATCTGTCAAACATACATAATTCATGGATTTATTAAATATATGTCCTTATTATGGAGTCTTATGTCTGCAGACACTTCCTGAAATGACCTCACATTCCCGCAGGTGGCAGTAGTTAGAGGACAAGGCAGAGCAGCTAACATATCTCTGCAGGGAAATGGATTAAATTTTCCCCTGAGAAGTGACTTTCCATCAAGGATAGCATGGAAGTGTGTTTGTCTGTCAGGAAGCCAATTAGAAATCTGTTTGGTGATGATTGACTTAACTCTAGCACAAAGATTTAAATCTTGATAAGAACAGTCCAGCATTTCCGTATGGAGCCTCTCAAGTTGAAGATATGGGGAATATTATTTTAAGACTAATATCTGAACCATACAGTAAGTGATTGTGATGAACGAGTTTTCTCTGTTGCTTCTTTGATTTTCCTGCCTGTCCTGTGTGCTGATGAAATAGGAAATAACTTGTGCTGTATTTCACAGATCACCGATTTTCAGATCCAGAAAGAGTGAACTACAAATTTGAAAGTGGGCCTTGGTAAGTACTTTCTCCCTCTTGTTGCTGCACATATTTCAACCCCCACCACTTCCTGTTTAAAGTTACTGTTTAGGTGAGCTGTGCTTGTCTGTATTTCTAATTTTCAAATAGCTGTTACCTTTATTTCTAGTTGTCTTGCCACTGCTGTGGGAATTGATTAGATCCTTTAAGTGGCAAAGGGAACACATATTCTATGATCGGATGCAAGCCAGTTTTCTTGTTAGGCTTCAATGTTGCCAATGTTAACTGCTTATAGTTCTGGGTTCTGCTAATAAGTGCTTATAGTGGGTGTTAAGTGTACTGTGCTATTAACGAAGAATGTAAGCAGTGTTGCAGAAGTAACCCTATTGGTTACTAAATCTTGCACTCTTCCTGCAATTTACTCCATAGTTACTGCATACACATCATGATTTTTTTTTATAGGGAAGAAACACTTTTGTAAAGATACTGGGCGAGAGGTACTGTGCTACCAGTCAATTGCTTAAGCTGCAATGATTATCTTATTCCCAAATATGTTTTAAACATAAAACTTTATCTGCTTTTGACTGCTTTGTTGTTTGGTTTGGGTTTTTTAAATGTAACTGTGCTCTTTCCATGTATAAATACAGATTTTTCTCAGTGGTTTGCTGGATGCTCCCTCTGCAATATCATAAGAGACTGGTGTTAAACTGACTTTATTTATATTCCCATCTTCCACAAATACTTACTTCCCCCTTCCAAATTAAGGATCTGTCATAATGGTAGATGATACTGACACTTCTGAGTCAAAAGAAGCAAGAAAAAAATGCAAAAAGATTGGCAGAAAGTATCCAGAGAGATTAGCTCAGGGATTATGTTCAGCATTGTTCTAAGCTTTTTCCTTTTCACTAACAAAATTCTGGGATGAGGTGGAAGATTCTCATCTTATTTGAGATAGTGAGAAGTACAGAATTAAGAGGCAAGGGGAAACAGTTTGGGACAGACAGCTACAGACAGAAAGGCCACCTGAGAAATTAAAATATGAGCGAGAAACATGACCCTTCTATAAAAAGGCATACCACAGCCCGTTTATATGAGGGAGTCCTCTGCTACTGAACAGCACTTCATCTACTTAATCAATCGCATTGTCTCTTCTGTGCAAAAACCTGTTCTTGCAGTAGCCAGAAAGGCAGCCTTGGGTAGCTGTGAGCGTTTTGTTGTAATCGACACTTTTAACGAGTAAGAGAACAAAAGAGACTGCGGTAATGACCAATTAAGCCTGGCTTTCTGTGGCTGAGCTATTCCCATACTAAGCAGCCAATGTAGCCTTTAGCTATATTAGTCCCTAGTAGCATGGTGATGGCCTGAACAAGCAATGTTACAGCTCAACTCTTGAGGCAGGAGTCCTGTGTGTGCTGAGTACAGCCAAGAACAGATTTGGTCTTGGCTGGTGACTGGCTCTTAACACACTGTCACAGTACAACTAATAAGCACTAATCTCAGTTACATCTAATTGCTCTGCTTCAATTTCCACCTACCTAGATTAGAACAGCAAGTGCTTGATTTTTATACCAGGAACCTTGTTCAGATAATGGAGAAGCACAAATGATGTCAGGAGAGGGAAATAAATTGGCAACATGATCAAAGAGATGACGGGTCAAAGAGAAAATGTGATGAAGCAGGAAAAGGGAACTGGGAAAGGAGCGACTTAACAAAACAAACTTTCCCTAGGATAGACTTTACCTAGGAGTGGCTTTCAGTTTGTGGTGTGGCTTTGGATGGTGGTGGCACTTGAGCCTCTGCCATCCAGTAGACATGGAGCAGGGACAGAAGCCTGTCTCTGGAACACAAATGGCAAGAACAGAGGGTGGTGTGTGGCAGATACTACAGGCAAATATCTCTCCCTGTTTCTGTGCCTGCAGCAGCAAGATGGAACTTGTGGATGACAATGCTGTTATCCGAGCGAGAGGATTGCCATGGCAGTCGTCTGACCAGGACATAGCGAGATTCTTCAAAGGCCTAAATATTGCCAAGTTAGTAGCTAAGAATTTACCTGTACATTTGTAGTGCTTCAGCTGTGGAAGTCACGGAGTTTCATCTCTTTTGATTTAAATCTTGCAGGGGAGGTGCTGCACTCTGTCTCAATGCCCAAGGTAGAAGGAATGGGGAGGCTCTTGTGAGGTTTGTAAGTGAAGAGCATAGAGACCTAGCACTACAAAGGCACAAGCATCACATGGGGAATCGATACATTGAGGTGTGTGACGCTGGCTTTGAAATCCTCTTCTCAAAAGGAGTGCGAATTGCATGCCAATCACATGTTCTCTTTTCTTCCTTTAGGTATACAAGGCAACAGGTGAAGACTTCCTTAAAATTGCAGGAGGTAATTTTTAGAGGATGAAAAGGGATCACTAACTTTTGGCTTTAAACTGCTCCCACTGAATGTGACTTTTCACTTTCTGTCTTTGAACAAGTTGGCTCGTGTATTGATTACTATGTACTCTGCTAGCAGAAGTCAAAGATGTTCCATTATTTCTGTCAGCCTTTCTCTTCCACGTTCTTGCCATTTTCAAGCAGCCTGTCAAAGCAGGATTTGATTGGGCAAAGTGATCTTCTATACAAACTTAATTTTTTTAGGTCATCGTAACTGTGGGGATCTAAATGTTATTGACTGCTGAAAAAATGAAACCAGAGTAGTTTTTTGAAGCAATATGACTGCTGTTGCTGTGGAGATTTGCACATAAAACCAAACAGATATCACACTGTAAATACAAGAGATTTGTGGGACCAACTTTCTTCAAATCAAATCTTTGCCTCAAACAAAATGGAGAGGATTTAGGGGAAATGCTTATTGAAGGGGAATATTGAAATATTTGCTGATAATTGAAAGGCAGCAAAATTTGCTTTACAAACTACCCCTTGGTCTCTTTTCATCTCCTTTATGTCTGAAAGTGTATAGAATTTGAATTAAGATCCAATAAGCTGTTATATCTACAATAGTACCTTAAGGTCCTTGTTGGTCCCTGACAGAGGTTTGTTCTGGGGATTGTAAGTGACTAACTGGATATCTGAGTTTGAGGTGTTAGTGTTGGAAAGGCTGTTAAGCTGTCAACTAAATAGCTCACCGACGGGCTTGGTAACAGTTATACTAGCCAAAGTAAAGACATTGCACACTGATGTTGGTGAAGAACGGTGCACGTCTGGTGCAACCAAACTTCGCAGCACAGGAGCTGTAAGTGAAAGGACTGAATTAAGATGTGAAGTTGGTTAGCAGCTACCTTTTGGATAGGGTAGTGTTTTGAGTATCGCTGGGCTTCTCGTAAAAGTACTGAAAGTAGAATTGGCAGACTTTGACAGTTCTATCAGGATAGGATGAAATTCCTGAACTGTTTTCGACATGCCCTTCCAACTTTCCTTCCCAGCACGATTATCTAGATACTTAGTTGCTGTATATTTTGGCTTTAGTGCATGCTGAAGGTATTCCACATTTAGGAAGGTGAAGTGCACAGTAGCACAGGTACTGGTTTACACTAAATATTCAGAGACTGTGCTTTCCTTGGACTTTGAACACTGCAAGTACTTATTTTCCTTTTGAATAAGGAGAAATATCCTCTAAGTGGTGGAGTGACATTATTATACTTTAATGGGAGGTGTCTTCTACAATATATCTAGTTTATCAGAGGGACATCTTTCCTGGTTTTTGAGGCAAATACTGTTCTACCTGCTCAAAAACTGTCTGTGGGCAGGACTCAGCTATGCCAGACTTGCTCATGATTTTATGTGGTTGCCTGGACTTAAGTGCTTTTGTACTTTTTCTTGTTAAAGGCACTTCCAACGAGGTTGCACAGTTCTTGTCAAAAGAAAATCAAGTGATTGTCAGGATGCGAGGTCTTCCTTTCAATGTAACAACAGAAGAAGTGCTGACTTTCTTTGGCCAGCACTGCCCTGTAACAGGAGGGAAGGAGGGAGTCCTGTTTGTCACATACCCTGACAGTAGGCCGACAGGGGATGCCTTTGTCTTGTTTGCTTGTGAGGAATACGCACAAAATGCACTGAAAAAGCATAAGGACTTGCTGGGGAAAAGGTACATTGAACTCTTCAGGAGCACTGCAGCAGAAGTTCAGCAGGTGGGTGCAAACTTTGCAAACATTGGCTTCTTGTTATCCAAACTTCCACACTGGCAGCAGTGAAAGCAAATACTAGTTGACCATGACTTGACAGCTCCTTTTATCTTCTCTCACTCTTCACCCTTGCTGGATGAGTACTGTCTGAATTTCTATGAGGCTCTGCTTCCTCAAAATGTAAGACTATGGTATATGGATTTTCTCAATCATATATACAAACCTTTGGGTTTTTGGCTTCCAGTAACCTTGCAGAAAGTTGATGTGAGTCTAGTGCTTTACACTACAGATACTGAATTTTACAAAGTCCAATGATGGTCTATTCAGAAGGAGTGTTGGCAACAAATCTTGATCTAAAAGACTTCTCTTTAGTCACTGACACAGAAAAGCAGAGTTTTTTGATGTAGTTGTCCTCTTCAGAGCAATGTGTCTGAAGAGTCTTACAAATTGCCTCTAAGGGCAGATCTCTGCCATCTTCTGCCAGCACAGGCTACCTAGCAGAGGGTGGCATGACTTTGTGAAACTGGGCCTGAAGAGTCTGGTGTTAACCGAGTTTGCTGCACTATTAATCGCAGTTATGCTGTTAGGGAAAGGAAGTCGGGCTGAGAGGATTGTTTAAGCCTCCAAAGACTTGTAGAGCTTCAGTTGAGGCCATTAACTTCTAAATGTGATTCTAAAAGGTGTCATCTCTGGTGCAAATTATAGCCATGTCATTGTAACCAAGAAATGATGCAACTCTGTCCTCCCAAATATGTGGAGATTTCAGTGTCATGTTTAAAAGGTGCCACTAATGATAAGGCAGAGCTGCAACACTCACTCTTGTCATTGTATTTTTCTCAAGTGCTCTCATATATTTCTTTTAGTAAAGCCTTCTGGTAGCTGTATAAATGCAAATAAATCTTTATCTTGCTTAGAGTTCAAGAGTAATGATTGAATATTCAGAGAACTCTTCACTAGACAGGGGTTTTACTGTTAAAATTATTAATAAGAAATCTCAAAGCGTGACTGTCACAGATACTGTGATTCAGCAACGCCACCTGTTACTTCAATGGACTGTTGCATCCCAAATCGGGTGTTTGGTAGTGAAATATGCTTCTAGTTCCCAGATTCTCCTGAAGTTCTGCAGAGGAGATGTTTTTGGATAAAAATGTCACCATGACTCTGTAGATGGTTGAATGTCTTAGGATACTTTCGCAATAAAAATACTGTGGAAATACTGTAGAAATGCAGGTTTCATGTTCTAAGATCTCTTCTGAGAGTTACATTAACAGTTCAAGTAAATTCTCAAAACCAAAATTGTTTTTCAGGAAAAACATTGATTTTTAAAACATTTGAATTCTAAGCGCTGCTGTTGTGGTTTAAGCTCAGAATCTAGCTCACTTATTTCTTAAAATACTGCAATGAAAACAGTGAGTGGAAACAAATGGCACTAGGCTTATGTTCTGTCCCTCTGAAGAATGAGTAAGGAGGCTTCCTGTAACCTCTCTGTTTTTGTTTGCACAGGTGCTGAACAGGTACTCTTCCACACCTCTCATTCCTCTTCCAACACCTCCTATTCTTCCAGTATTACCTCAACAATTTGTGCCTCCCACAAACATCAGAGACTGCATACGTTTGCGTGGTCTTCCCTATGCTGCTACTATAGAGGACATCCTGGAGTTCTTGGGAGAGTTTTCTACAGATATTCGGACCCACGGAGTTCACATGGTACTGAACCACCAGGTTGGTAGGCAGCATATTTCCAGACATCTGCCAAATGCTTGTATATGAGAACACAGTCCTCCTGAGGATATCAGTAGGGAAGCACCTTTGGGATTGGTACTAATGGTATTAGTGGGCCTCCAGCTCTCCTCTAAAGGTGTACTGGCAATAAATGATTTGAACTCTGCTGTGTAAGCTGCTGCGTTTGCTGTAGACCCATGTGCTGAAAGCTAAGCCACAGTCTTGAAGGGGTTGGTGCTCTTGGAGCAGCAGCTGTGATCCTGCACTGTAGGAGGCTTGAACTGAAGTCTTGCTCAACAGCATGCATGATTCCTCTTGTGCCAGGCAAAGAGTGCCTTCCAAACAGAAGTGTGGGCAATGTTAGTTCTCAAAGGAGTGGTTTGCCCCTGCCTTGCTGAACAATGTGCATCAGGTATGTTTGAGGACAAATGGGACTGCAGCCTTCTAGGGACAGTATTTCCTATGACATAAGCCAGAAGCTGAAGCTTTGGGTTTCCTGCACTGTGTTTCTCTCTTTAAACAGTCACAGCTAAGAACCAAGATTTAACAGCTCATTGAAGTGTGAAATGCCACTGTTTTCTGGAAGAAGTTTCTACCAGAGCTTTTTAGACAAAGGATTGTGCATTCTTGTGATCTTTATCTTTATACTCTTGTGACTAGGAGGAGGAGTTGGCAACTCCTTTCGCTCTGTGGAGATGCTCTGAGTGGTTCAACTGATAACTGATTAAACTGATTATTGTGGTATAAAAATGGTGGTTCTAAAATTCTTTCAGCTTAGTCTTAGTGTCATCCAAAACTACAAAATACTTCCTTGTCCCAGAGTAGGGCTTATGTATTTTGGGAATATGGGGGAGGAGAAGGGACTACAGATATTTCAGTACCTCTTTATCTAAGGAGATTCTTGTGTCTGTGAGGACTAGACCTAGTCAAGGCTGAAAAAACAATAACAAATACGCACTGCTAGGATAGGCTAAGAAATGATGCAGATGTTAAAGTACAAATAATGATTTACAGAAGTATCAGTCCTTGCCAGCAGTAATGAAAGAACCTGGATGAAGAAATTGGTGTGTGCATATAGTCTCGAGGGCTGTTTGCAACCCTTGCCCTTCCCAAAGCTGTCAGCAATTTTTTTCCCCAGATACTGCTTTTGCCTGATTAGATTTGTATCCTTCTCCATGCACCTGCTATTTCTGGTTTAACCCTATAATCACGAATGACTGTACAAAAGATGGTGATAAAGTTGTTCTTCCCTCCAAAACAAGAAGAACTGGCCCAGAACTGAAGTTACAGCTGGCTTCAGATTTCTACCTCTACTTTTGGCTACTTCAAGTCAGCAGCTGCATGTGGCTAAAATGACTCTTCCCAGTGGTGTATCCCACTCATTTACAGCTACATATGTAAAGTGCTGTTTTCTTTTGTTTTCCTCTGCAAAAAGCTCATACCAAGCCTTAGGCTAGTTAGTACCCTTATAAAACATCCCAGCCCATATTGGTCTTCACAAGATTAAATTTTTTTAAAAAATCATTTAACATTTGGCATTTGACTCTATTTATCTTTGGATTTTCAAAGTCATAGGTAATAAGTGGGGATTAGATCTTCCAATTCTGCATTCTTACTGAATTGTTAAGAGCAGGTCTCAAAGCACCAAAGTACCATAGGAATAATTTTTTTTTTTTTTTAAACATAGAAGCAACATGGCTCAAGTTACAGCGTAGCTTAATCAAAACAGGTGAATAAATACAATCAAGTTACCACAAGGGGGAAAAACCTTGGAGAGAACTTAAACATGCTGATGGGTCTCAGGTTGACTGACTGTACTTGACTTCGGAAATAAATATATTAATGACTGAAGAGACGGCTTTTAACAGCACAAAGTATTGCTATGCTGCTCCTTCATGGGAGCTCTAGAAACATTTTTTTTTGTCTGCCTTGTTTATAGGGACGTCCGTCAGGAGATGCTTTTATTCAGATGAAATCTGCAGATCGAGCTTTCCTGGCTGCACAGAAGTGTCATAAGAAGACTATGAAGGACAGATATGTTGAAGTCTTTCAATGTTCTGCTGAGGAGATGAACTTTGTATTAATGGGGGGCACTTTAAATCGAAATGGCTTGTCCCCACCACCATGTAAGTTACCATGTAAGTTTTGCTTGGGTCTTGTCAATACTCTACACTGTGTGCGGGTAGGTGTTGGAGCTGCCCTGTTGACTCTGATTCTGGTTCCTGGAAAGAATTGTCAGATGGGGGTATTAAAATGAGGTCTTTTTGTCTTAAATCTTCAGCAGCTTGCAATCATTATTTTTCCCTTTGGTTGTGAATTATTATGACTGGAGAACTACTTTTGCTCTTCCATTGACAATTTTTCCCTCCCCTCTGTGAAACTTAACATTGTTGGGGTGAGTGGTGATTCTGAAAAGTAATTTGTAAGCCCTGCTGAGACCTTAAAGAATTGTTTCCCATTTAAACTGGTTTACATTTATGTTTTTCATCATGGTGAACATGCCAAGTAAAAGCCCTTCCCCTTTTACTTGCAAAATTTAACTTATGAATAGGCAATACTCCCCTTTGGGACTTAATCACAAGTGTTCTACCTTTTGAACCACTACTGACTAAACGCTTCCTTTCATAGAATCAGCTGGGTTGGAAGGGACCTCTGAGATTATCAAGTCCGACCCTTGATCCACTACCACCGTGGTTACTAGACCATGGCACTAAGTGCCACATCCAGTCTCCTTTTTGTTGTTTGTACAGAATTGAGGCTCCCTATGTTGGGAGTAAAATACAGTGGCTTTGCCCTCAGAAAATTGCAGAAACTGTATTTCCTTTTAAATTTTGCTTCTCAGAACTACTAGGATGAACATGGACTTTGGGCCATGTTTGGGAGAAATGCTTTAAGAGCTTAAGGGCTAACTTACTAAGCATATGTGCCACATACATCTGAGCCTAAGGGAAAAATAATACTTTGCTTCCAAAATCATAATGGCAAGGTAGTCAAGTAGGAGCTTTCTCTTTCTTTTTATGCAAATGTTTTATTGTTGTTGGACTTTTTAAGAAATGTCTTCTAAACCCTAGTCAGAGCTGCTAATATGGCAGCAAACTTCTTGGGAGTGGCTTCTTGTGGAGTACGAGTAGACCTTCAGCTAATCCTTTAGAGATTTTTTTTCCAATGAAAGTATCCTGAGCAGGGATCAGCAGTATGTAGTCCTATGTGTGAGAGCTGTTCCAGACAGGGGTTGGAATGTTCTGAGCTCCTAGGACAGGTTCTTGGGCAGAGTCCCAAACTTCAGAAACACTTAGGTGGCAGTGTTCCCATTTCCAACTACGAATGCTTGTGATGTATTCCTCAGATAAGGGTTTTTGGCACTATCACTGCCCCATTTCACAATATTTGCTGACTGTCTTTTTAACTCTGAATAGCAAAAATAAAGGCTTACTTTATTTAAAGCTTTTATATGTTCACCTTTATGACACTGGAGAGGAGAAGAGGGAAACAAAAGAAGAGAATGGCAAAGGAGGAGGGTGAGCTCTCATCAATGAGAATTCATTTAGGGCCTTACATCTTGTTGCAACACCACAAAGTGCACTTTGGCGTTATTTTAAAACTTGATATTAACACTTGAAGCTGCAAAGCTGTGACTCTGCTTGATCTGCTGTTGATTAATTGAAGACAGATGTTTGAGGGATGGAGAATATCTGGATGAAAGTGTCCTCTCTCCTGGAGGATGTTAGATCTTTATCATGGAAGTTTCTTTTATACAGTGGAGAATCATACTTCTTGATTACAGACTTCATTAAAATCTAAGCCTGAACAAAAAAAAATTGGCCTCCTCCTCAGAAAGATACCCTATTTTCAGAGCAAGAGGTGGCTTTTAGTGTATTCCTGACTTTGCTTTTTGACTGGGGGGTGGACACAACATTTATCATCAAGCTCATGTTGGTGGCTCAGACTTATTTTCTGGGATGAGTAAGGGAATGAGAAACTTGTGAAGGCTCTTGACATACTGCAGGGTTGTTGTGTATGTATGGTCTGTTATCTCTGGAATTCAAGAGTTCCTAATCTATTTTCCATTTGTTCCCTTTAGGCCTTTCACCCCCTTCCTACTCCTTTCCTGCTCCTGCTGCAGTTATGCCAACAGAAGCTGCTCTGTATCAGCCATCCATGCTCCTCAACCCACGAACACTCCAGCCCTCCACAGCCTACTACCCTGCTGGGGCTCAGCTCTTCATGAACTACACAGCATATTACCCCAGGTAAAGCAGAGGAGAAACCAAGCAGGAATAAAGAAGTCTTTCTTTGCAGCAAATGCACAAAGCTCACAAAAGAACATTGTCTGCTCTGCTAAAGGCTTGTGTAACCAAGAACAACTTGTTCAGTATCTTGTTCAGGGAAAAAATTTAAGGATATCTAAGGATTTTCCAAGTTTTAGAGTATTTCAGGTAGCCATAGTTTTTTTTGGAGTTGGTTTGTTTATTGTCTGCTTTTGGTTATTTGGTTTTGTTTTTTTTTTGTTTTAAACTTAGGTCGCACATTTAAGTGGGATATTTTTGATTTTTCTTTTTCCTTCTACCTAACATGCCTCTTAAGCTTGTTAGTTTGCATTGTTATGCCCTCAGTGGAAACTGATGTGTGTGGTATTCCTTCCCATGTCTATAAAGAAGCCCTTGGCCCCTCTTTAGAATGGGTAGATGGAGGTCTGCCCGAACAACTTCTGAAATTCTGCCTGTTTCTGTTTTTTTTTACCAAAGTAACTTTTGACCTTTTTGGTGAAAACTGTTTACTTCTAGAAATAAGTTTTGCATTGAAGCATATCTGTATTGAATGCATATGTAAAGCATATAGAGGCATATATTCTTCCTGACCTCAAACACCTCTAACAAAGTGCTTTTGGCTCTTCTGGATATATTAACTGTTTTCAACAGAACAAAAACTCTGAATAGCATTTGCCCTCTGCAGTCATGAGGCCTTGGAAAGAGCCATGTTACCTATAAGCCATAAACCATTCATTATCTGTCAGGGAATCTGTTAAAGAACTCGAGTTTTTTTTTTGTCTCTGGAGAAGGGTCTGAATAGCTACTTAGGTAGCTGTTAAGCAATATGGACTCTCCTGTACCTGTAAGATGACAAAGGTTTTCTTATTACTTTACACTAAACCAATATGTCTGTGAGCTGCCTGTTGTAGTTTTGCTATTAAAATGTTTTCTTCACTCATGAGTTAATTTCTATAATGCCTTCAATAACTGTCTTATGGTTATGATAATGTCTTACCAAACTCAGCCTCATTAATGTAAGATTAAGAAAAATAAAATTCCAAACTTGCACTGGCAATGTAACCAAGTTTCTCAATAACAGTTCTATATGTCATGAAAATGTAGCAATAATAGTTTTGTTATAACTTTGACATGTTGTACTTCTTAAAATAATAAGACTGGCCACTGCAAGCTTAGTGTCAGGCTCCACACAGATCTCTCACTGAATGGGGTCCCATATGAGTCCTGTTGCTGGCTGCTTGGGCTGGGGGCATATATGTTGGTTACAGACTGATCAGCCCCAAGTCCCTAAATATCTTTTCTATATTCTTGTCTAACTGATAGCTGTTCGCTGTTCTTAAGAAACCATTCTTACATAGCTTCTGTGCCAATTACAAGTACCTCCATCTTAAAGAAAATAAGGAAAAATTTCTGGAGTCAACTTCTTTCTGGGTTGTGAGATTTAGTGTTTGACTATTTTTTTTTCTATCCAGAGTAAATGTTTGATCTGCAGACAAATTGTATATACTCCAGTAGATGTAGTGATCCTTTGTTGCTGACATTTTGGGCTATTTTTTTTCTAAAAAATGAAGTTTTGTTACTTTTTAGACAAGTTTCTTTGCTTTGTAAAGGATACAATAAGTTATTGGGCTCCTTTGAAGTAGCAATCAGAACTCTCTTAAATGTAGTCTTCTGATTCTGAAATCTAATTCCAAAAATGTTAAGTATGTGCTACAGGAAAGAATGGGGTATCCTCTCTACTAAGTGATCCATTTAAATGCATGTACATGGAAAAGCAATACAGAGCTGGTGGCTAATGATCAGACAATGGTTCATAAATCTAACTAGTGAATACTTATGGAAATAAGGAAAGTTTCTTTGACCTGCTGCCAAAAGGTTCTACCACTTGTGTTTTGCAAGGTCAAGTTGCTTTATAATAATCCAATTCTGTTTTCCACACAACAATCAATGTAGAGACAGGTGTTGTTTTGGTCTTCAGTATCTATCAGAAATCCTGAAACTCTCAGACTCATCTTAATGATGAGTCTTATTCTCTTCTTAATGCTCTTATAGCTTTTGGTGATGAAACCCAATTGTGTAAAGAAATGGATGCCTTCTAAGCTATTAAAATAGCTTTAGTGAATTCCTAATGAAAAGGAGGGGAGAGCAAGTTATTCGGGATCTGTCAGTCTTTGATATCTCTCTTCAGCTTGTAATTATATCTGGCAACATGCTCTGACAGCAAATCAGTGGTCTCATTCTCTGTCTAGTCCCAGGCTTTTAAGAAAGAACAATAGGATTCATGGGAGGGAGGAGTTTTTCTTTATCTAATCCTGAATAAATGAGTGTACTAGGTGCTATATGTACATTGAAAGTAATGAATAACTGCTCTACTTGGCAATTGCTAACATGTTCTACAGGAACTTTTTACCATATACAAACTTGAAAGCTACTGCTACAGGGTATGCAGTTTTAAACCAAAGATGAGTCTTGCTGTATTTATTGAATTCTAATGCCATTTTTTATCACTTTTATGCATTACCTTTAAAACCTCAAAAGTATCTGTCAAAGTCTATACATCTAGTAGTAAATTTATAATTCGTACTTTGTTAACAGTACTTTAAATAGTGCAGTGGAAAGAGGAGCTTCTTACTCAGTGGGTAGTGTGCTTGTAGGACTCAGCCAAAACATGATGTGGAAGCTGAAGACTGATGTGGGTTCAAACGAACTGGATAAATTCCATGGCAGGAAATTCATTGTGAGTTAGTGAATACATAGAAACCACACCTGGCTCAGGAAGTCCTTGAACTGAAAATAACTAGAAAAAGTGTTCTTCTGTTCTGTCTCCTATGGTAAATTCTTGTGCTGTTGAACTGAGGTGTGTAGGAGAACTTGTTCGTTCACACCTTTGTAGTACTTGTCTTGAGATACAGGCACTGCTTGAGAGCGTGGGCCTGTTCTAATGTGTTTCTAGCTGTATTCAGTTGTGCTGGTCTAATAGTGGCTAGGTTTGGGTTATCTCCCTGTTGTGCCAGTGTGTATACGGTTCTCTCTCTTGGAGTGGTTTAAATTAAAAGGTCTTTTTATGCAATAATGGTATGATTATGACATTTCCTGCACAAGGAAATACAGAGTAATCTTAGTGTTCTCATCTGTCTGCTTCCATCTCTTCCTGCTATGGATTAGGTGTGGTTTTTCTTGTTATACACTAATCAACTTGTATATACATGTGCAACATACATATAGCATTAATATTTATGTATGCATACCTACAGAAGTATGGGTGTGTAAAAGTAATACAACTAAGGTTAGAAAAAACTCACTTGTTCTCTGATGGATCAGATCCTCTGTAATGATCATCATGGAAAACAAGTGAGGCTTTTTCCTACCTTGGTCATTGCTCAGATCTATATTGAAGCACCAATAAGTTAGATGGAGTTTAAAACTGGCAAAGCTAGAAACAAGTAGGCTGGATCAGAGCGATAGTAGTCAGAGCTGCTGCCAGCAGCTTTGTTTGTGTATCTCTGTCTGGCTAACCAGCATTGCTTGACAGAACTGGGTTAGGAAACAACCATATGTGTATTTAGCCTGGGAGCTTTGTCACAGATGGATAACAGCAGCAGCCAGAAACAAAACCTCTTCATCAGCTTAGTTGTAGTCACAGCATCATAGCAACACTCGGAACCGCAGCTCTTAGACTCTTTGCACTCTTTTTTATTATTATTATTGTACTAACTATGTCAGCTTGGATTGCATGAGATCACATCTGCAGTGAATGGGCTCCCTGGGCATAAAAGCCTACTGGTGGCTTTCAGTTGCTGTCCAGCAGATGGAGTTCACATATTTACATCAAGTGGCAGAATCTGGAACTCTTCATTACCTATCCTTGCTCATATTGAGCTGGTTTCCATCATGAATTTGTCAAAATAACTTCAACTCTTTAGTTAATGGCACAAACTTGTCACCGGAATGATTTCTTGGGTGGGACACTTAATGATTCACTTTTGTAAATGAATGTAGCTTGCCAAGGATTAGAACAGCAGGGGCGCCTTGAACTACTACTGTATTTTGTTGGAGGAGCAGTGCATTAACAGGGAAGATTAATTGTTGCATGCCTCCATAGACTGTCATTATCCCTTTGTTTGTAGGTTTTAATTAGTAAAATTACCATGATGTCTGAAAAGCAGCAGAAAGGTGGGTATCTGTAGGATCAATAGGTATCTGTATATCAGGATAGTAAAATTATTTAAATGAAAAAACAAAATGAACTCCACCTTCCTTCCAAGTTGGTAAGCCTGTAAAAATGTTTCTGCTGGTAGCAAGCGTCCAAGACTTACTCAACCCACCATACAAAATGGCACCATGGATTCTTCCTTTTGTTTGTGTAACATACTGAATCACTTGACTTTCAGCTAGCAGCTCTCACTGTTGTCTTCTGACTTTTCCTCTGCTAGCTGGTAAAACATTTGGATTAGTCTGAGGGATTAGAACATTGCTCAAGTTTGCTGCAGAGATCAGTTTGAGTGTAGTTTTTCCTTTTACTTATTTACAACACAGTTCAGTGGTGGGAGAGATCTGTCTGTTGTGCCTCAAGGCATGTGTGTCATCCATGCAAGTGGCTCTCTTAAACACTGCAGTGATCTCAGGTTATTCAGGGCACAAAGATATATTGCTGGATACTTCTCTTTACTCAGAAGCAGCCTTCTATGGGGTGTGTTAAAAGTCCCAACACTACCCAGGGCAGAAAGTGTTTCTGACTCCATTCCCACTGCTTCTTGTCATCATGCTACCATCAACTTACACAGCTGGGAAGCTGATTGCTGTAGTCAGATGGAGTGGACAGCAGGTTATCTGGTTAAATGTGGGGAAGGCATCTGTACTGAAGGGGCTTTTGGTGTTTCCAGGGGTAGAGTTGGGTTGATCTTGGAATAAGGCTCCTTAGACCTGAAAGCTTTTTTTGAGTCTTCCTTGTTGAAAACAGAGTCTGTGATATTTGTCCATGATTAAACAGCAGCCATGGGGATCTAAATGTTTCTATTTGATTAACAGATGACCTGATGGTTTAGTGCTACTACTCGTGCTATTTGTCAAGTTGCATGGCCTTTCTTTAAATGGATAAACATTTCAGTCTTGGAAAAGGAAAATTAATCTGGTTATGTAAATACTTTTGCTAATAGCATGTCTTGTTAGTTTTTGTGAACAAAGTACCATGCTAAAACTTTCAACTTTGGTAATTATACTACAAAATTCACTAGTTTTGCTTCTCTCAAACTTTTGTATGAACCACTTCTAAAAAAGCCTTACAGTAAAGCTGCATTTCCTCCTGATTTGGGGCTGCTTTCCAGCAATGAACATTATGGGCATTATGCTGCAAGCTTGTGTATATGTGCACATTATACCCATGTCCTGTGCCAGCCAAAGAAGTAGTTGAAAATCCCTTACAGTCTCTGAAAAAATCTGCTGTTCACTGGATTTTGGACTGATCTGTCAAAATGGATGATGTGTGTCCATTGCTTTTTCTGGTCCTTCTGCTGGCTTCAGTCAGAGGATCTGACTTTGGGGTGCTGCAGAGCTGCTTAGGGTCTGCTGAGCTTCCTAGACCTCACAAAGGGGGGAATAATTTAATCTTGAAATGCTAGTGGATGAGTTTGACAAGTTTTCTTTGCCTACTAGTGTTCCTCTGTGTATTACAGTGAGGTATATGCAGTAAGACTATCCTGCAACACAGGACCTGTCTTAGAGTCCTGAAATTAATAGAAACTGTCAATCAGTAGCTTGAGAAAAGGTTATCTTCAGTATCTGTTGTCACAAAGCAGAAAATAGTTAATACTTAACAAACAAAAAATTTTTTCAAGACTACAGAGAACTAAGTCATAGGAAAAACAGGGATCGAAAATCTGCAGGGAGAGAAATGAAACCTCTAGATGGTGTCTAGGCACATATCTGCTCCTATGTGCAAATAGTGCTGGATATGTCTGTGGTTCTGTTGATTGACCTGCAAGATACTTGGCAGAGATCTGAAAACCTGCTTGGCTATGTGTGCTGACTGCTCCCAACTCACACCCACTTGTAATATAAATCACAGCTTCCTTCTGGATATTTGTATCTGTTAAGCAAATGTATAATGGAAAAATGTTAGGAAATCAGGGGAGACAGTGATCCTCAATGTTTCCACATACTTTAGTGATCAATGTTTGGGATCCCTTTAAGGGTATAAATGCCAACATCAACCTTTAGAAGATGTGAAAACTTGTTCTTGCATCCAAAACTGATTTCTGAAATTTAATTATGTTTTATTTTGAGGGTCTTTGGAGAATACAACAATCTCAGAAATATTGATTGGAAAAAAAATCCAATCTGCCTGATTAGATCCAAGAAGGATCAATTCATAAGGAAAAGAGGTTTGCATTGGGAAACGATTTCAAGAACTGGATGGGTATTAAGAGTTAAATCCTTGCACTGCATCATTATATACTGATATGCAACTACTAAGAACAACTGTAGAAACTCTGTCTGACCTGATGTAAAATGTGCAAGTATTTGTTCCTGAAATTTGTTTCATTAGGGAAGATAGACTGGAATGTTTGTCTTGTATCCCTCTCTGGACACTTTTCACTACCCATCTCCTCTATCGTCTGCTTTTCCATCTGGAAACATGACCACTCTAAGTCACTGCTGTTTCTCTAGGAGGTTATCACCCCTCAGACTGGGGGTAACACAGACCTGGCTGGGAGCAGTCCCTAAGTTCCCTAAGGGAATTGGAGCAGATAGCACCCTTAGTCTAACCCGTGGCTGAAGCTGTTACCTTTATCTCCAAGGTGGAGTTACAAATTAGCAAGTGCTAATTACCATAGCAGCGCAGAGCCAGCAGGCTGAATGGCTAGTTTTAAACAGGTTTTCATGTTCCTTGAAACAGAGAAAGACCCTGTAGAACGAATGATAAAAAAAAAGGGGAGGAAGAAAACTGAAAGGGAAGTGCTCTTGCCCCAGCAAATGCTGTCCCACCAAAGCTGAGGGGAAAGTATATGGAAGCACAGCAGCAGGGCCAAGTGGCCGAGATGGTGGGAAAGCTGTTCTCTGGAGCACCAGGTGTAAAGCTGTCATGGCCACTACTGCAAGTTCTTGTGGCCTGTCTCTCGGCAAAGGCCAGGGAGGCAGAGGAACTTCAGTTTAACAGTGATATGTCCCAAAGACAAGGGCTGTAGCTGTGTTTCAGAAGGAAAGCAAGATTGCCCAAGGAGCCTGTCTCATTGTTTTCTGGTGCTTTGTTTGATTTTTTTTTTTTTTGTTGTTGTTGTTTTTGGGGGGGGTTGTTTGTTTATTTAGTTTGTTGGTGGTTTTTTTTTAGTGGTGATACAAGCTACCTCTGTATTGACTTACTAAATTAGTTTACTTAAGAAAGCTGCATCATGGTCTACTTTGGGGACTGGGCTCTTTATCCCCACTAATAAGAACTCTGCAAAGAAAGCTGGCAAAAGGTCTCTTTTCTTACTCTTCATGTTAGTTTTGGAAGTAATGGGATTGTTCTCGTAAGAATTCTAGAAAAACTTAAACTGTTCTATGTCTTAAGTTCTCTGTTACCTCAGATGCACAAATTATCCTTTCTGGTAGCCTCAGCTGGCTGGCCAAAAGGACTCAATGTTAATGACACTCTTTTTATAAAGCTGTGCAGGTGCAAATAGGCTCGAGGGGTGCATCTTGCTCACTAAATCCAAGAGCAAAATAATTCTTTTTTTTTTTTATTAAATGTTACACATATATACAAGTGTCTAGCAGTAGATGGATAGTCATGTGGATTACATGGCATTTTAGCAAAAAGAGGATATTTTCTGGAACTGCCAATTCAAAACAAAACTGTTAAGTAGCTACAGTTTTGTGGCAATTGGAACAAGGCTATGAAAGACCTGACAAAGAATATCAAAGCTTCTGTCATCTACAAATGGAGTATTTGGGGCATAAGAAAAGAATTTTTATTACTCCAGAATAAATTATATTGTTGTGGCATTAATATTGCTTTAAAGCAAGACAAGCACGTTCGTTCATGGCACTAACCTTTACTATCCCACAGTTGCCATTGACCACAGAAGATGCTGTGTCTAAAAAGTCCATGAAACAGAAGTGAATGGAAGCAAATACTGCCTTGCTGGCAGCTCTGGAGAGTTCCTCCCTCAGGTATATTTGGCAGATAGGTAATAGAGACTGTTGGCCTGTGGAGGGACATATCTGCCGTGGGTTCATATCCTTACTCTGTAGCTACTTTAAAAAAAATGGGGTTGGAGACAGCATGTGATGGCAGTAAGTTCCAAAGCTGAATGGAAGGGGGAAGACTTATTTTCAGCCTCATTAGTGTCATTAGGTGACCCCTGGATCTTGTGTTTAAGAAACTGAGTAGTACATAGGTATATTGACTGTGGTAGTATTTTTTAGGGATTAGTATGGCTATTAATATCATGGAAAAGGCATGCAGGAAACCATTAGTGAGATGTGTTGTGATGAGTTTGTATGAAAATGCTACTCTACAGCATAAAACCTTCCTACAGGTGTTTTTCTGACAATAGGCTCAAAATTGATAGAAATGATTACAAGTCTTGTCCTTGGCATCAGACTGTCTCTGCTGTTTAGTGAAGAATTACTCACAAAGGTACCCAGGAACACAAAACTGTGGAGATAAAAAAGCATTATAAGTAATTCCTATGGAAAATGGAAAAAGCAACTCTCCTAGACACGGATAGTTGTTCACGATGTTAAACTTCATTGAATTTCATTTGCTTTGTGAAACCCTTTGAAAAGGTTTGTTTGAAGAGAAGCCACAAACATGTTTATGCTGTGTCCAGGAATGTCTTTTCTGCTGGATTTGTTTGTCGTTTGCTGTGACTAAACTATCCCCTTTGATACTGTGCTCCATAAAGATGACCCAGGGCTTTGCAAATGGTGGAAACTTAGGGCAAGACTGAAAACTGGTGAGAACACATGCTTGGAGGCAAATGCAGCTACTAGACTTAGAAGTTGCAGAGGCACTCAAGAAGATGAACTTTAACTTAGAGAGATGGAATATAGGCTAACACTGTAGGTCTCATGGGTAGTGAGGGAGGAGTCTTCCACAAGGCATCTTGGGGCAGTAGCCTTTGGGCTAAAGTCAGTCTTCATAAATATCATTTTAGCTAAGGATTTAAACACAAATATAAGCAAGCAAAGGGAAGACTGATAGTGCCCAGCAGAAACTTTCTCATGATATTTTCATAGCTTTGAATTTGGAGAACGGAAGTGGAGGCAGTCTGGGAACTACCTTTCTAGTGTAGTTTGAAGAGGTTATTCTAGGTTTAAGGAATAGCATGAAAATGGTGATGGAAATGGGTAAGTGCTTGAAGCCATGCTCAGGAGATAGAACAAAATTATCAAGGTGGCTCTGAGCAAGAAGTATGGGCTCTTTGGGGAATGAGTTTGTTTCGTTGTTTTTAACTTTCATCTTAAAATTGTATAATAAGTAGGAGTAGCCAGTGGCATCCTTCAGTATTAGGACAACTTGAAGGAAAAGTGGTCTATGCAAATCTTCCAAGTAGTGAACTTGTTAACTTAGAGACTTTGAGAATGTGTGTGGCTCTGCAGGAGATGTGTTTATCTCTGATCTCCAGGGACACTCTCGTGAGACCAGTCAGTTGTGACTGCCAGGGTCTGGAAGCAGTGATCTTCAACAAAATACTGTGTTGTGCTGTTAGAGGAGGCTGATTACCCCAGTGTGGTTTCTGTTGTTGAATTGCTCTTGATGCCGTGGTGATGGAAGCATTATGAATGTCTAATTGTGGCCTGAACTTTGTCTGCCCAGGGCTTTAAGAAAGGTTAAGGTTGCATAGCCAGCTGCTGGCTCTCTTCTGCACTAGTTTGGCTTCTGATTGCTTCTATCTTAACTTGTGTTTGTAGTATGCAGCAGAGGATGGACTTGTACACACAAATGATCCTACCAGGACAGTGTCCAAAGAATGGATTTGCATTTAAAGGCCCCAGCAGTTAGACTTCCTTAGAGAAGGTAAGGATATGAACCCCAGGAGATGGGTTTTGGGTGCATCATAGTGTTTGCTTCAGATAACCACCATATCAACATAACTTTTCATTTGCTGCCCTGGGAACACGGCTAGTCTTTCCTATTTCTAGAATGTCATGCTGCAGTGTATAAAGCCTTGGCTGTTAAAGCCATCATTTAAAAGATTTTGACTACTCCAGTCATTGTAAGGGCTGCTGCTTTACATGCTTCCCAGGGCTTCAAATGCATGCTACTTCAAGCTTTAATACCAGTACTGAGAGAAAGATCCTCAGAGACAGTTTCCTCTGTGGAACAAAGTGCAGAGATGATGTTACTTCTAGCAATGCACTAGGATGTAGTGTTGGTTAGGCAGAATGAGCTACTTTCTTAGGTAACTACAGAATCTGATTTCTAAGCCTCGTGCTGATGTAAAATTGCAGCAATGAAGTAAACTGTGTTTGTATAACAGCAGCTACTCTCTTGCCTTTGTGAGCTTTCTGATCAGGCCACTTGAGCCTTTCAAGCTTGGTTTACTTGATCTTCTGTATAGGAACAGTCAAAGGGTGAAGTCACCCAGAAAGCACTTGTGCAGAAAAATGCAAGTTGAACTGCAAAGCAATGTATTGGTGACTGCACCAGGTGCTTTATCCTGTGCTGTAGTCTCAGAGGAAAGTATAGAAATATTTTTATGAGAAATGGTCCTGTAATGTTTAGTCCTTTAAAAACATATAGTCAAAGAACTTTTATGCCCTTTTCTTTCCTCTGTTCATTCTTCAGCATCCCCTCAGTCTTCTGTTTTGTTCTCCTGCTTTTGACGCAAAGGTAACTTAGCCCAGGGTATAATCTACTTCTGGGCAGAATCTTTACCTGCAGCATCACCTCACTGTCACCTGCTCAAAGTGTGCTGCTTTTGCATGTGCTTTGCAGAAGTGACCATCTCAAGTAGTTGGCTAACAGGCTGGCTTTTGTCTGGGCTGATAAAGTTAAACCCCATCCCTGTAGCTGACAGTCTGAGGCCATAATTAGGTGCTCATTAGCATCCCGGCCTAAACTATGCTGCATAGCTTCCCACCCCGCAGCTGTTTGTCTGTGGTGGGTGTTGCCATGCAGTGACTAGGCTGGGAAGCTGATCTAACTGGAAGATCCCATGGGGGTTGCCTCTTAATCCATTTTCAGCAAGTTTACAGCTTAGCTGTGAGTACCTGTGTTGGCCCAGAGATGGGAAGGTTGAAGTGAACAAAGCAGACACTGAGGGACAGTAATGGCATTGCTGTGTTGGAGTTGACTGTAAAACTTCACCTTGAGAGGTAAAAGGTCATGTGATAATTGCATTAATTTTGGCATACTCCTAGTGAAGCACTGTTATCTTAATAGGCAATGTCACTGAAATCCTGTGTGTGTAAGGTGAAAACTAAAGCTTTGGGTTCTTCAACAAATATTTGATATTTTGGAAATCAAAAAATAAATATTTGCTTTTATCATGGTGTTCAGTGACCTGCACAACTCTTTCGTGCAGATTCCTCCACCCTTTCTGATGTTTTGAACAAACACAGCGAGCATAGATGGAGATTATCATTACATTCCCAGTTTTACTGCTTCTCAAGCCAGTTGTGCTCAAGAGAAAAAAGTCACCAGAACTCTGGAAATCAGCAGATGGATCTCTGTGTTCAAGCTGATGCACAATTTTCAAACATGCACACGCAGACCACTAAGCCCTTCATTGAGAGCACAGGTGTTGAAATCATGCAAGTCCTTGAGGGTTTCTCCTTGATAAAGTGTTCAGCTGCTCTTAACACAGACAGTTTAACCTCAACCTAAAATTCTGATCTCTTATGTTCTTTGAAATAGCAAAAAAGTCTTTTTTTGTCTAATTTTGCACACAGTTGTGTTTTAATTAAAAAAGTATTTTACAACCTCTAATTGTGCACTTGACATTTTAATAAAAAAAAAGTTTTTTTTTTGGCTTGTATATATGTCTAAACTGTGCAAAAGAGGCCTTTGTAAACTTTATATGCAGGCATATTTTATACAGTGCAGAAATAATTAGGAATGTAAAATGGATTATCTGAGGGGAAAAATGCTGTAACTTTGTAAAAGTATACGTGTGGGATGTTAAATGCTTTGTCTCTGATTCTTATCTTGTATGCTTTTTCATATGCACTCAGGTATTTAAATTTTAAAAGGCTTACAGGAGTATGCATTTTCAAACTTTGCTCACTCTGCTTAGTCAGAAAATGAGAAATGTGGTTAATGTCTCTCCTGTGCTACTACTTTTTATTTTTCCACTTCTTGCTCTACCCACCCTGCTTGGTGTTTGACAGCCTTTCATGCAAGAGAAGGAATTGTGATCTCTAGTAAGACCCAGCACCTTATCTGCTTTAAAGGAGGGTCACTCAGGGATGGTAGTTTGAGCTTAGTCTCTCTCTGAACTAGAGCAAGTAACCCAGCACCACAACTGTCACTCTCACCAGAGAAATCAGGTGATAAATGTGCTCTTACTTAAATAACTTTTAGCAGCCTTTGGTCTCCCTGCCTGCCTTGAGACTGGGCTTCAGGCTGAGGGTTAGATCACTATGTCTTTCCATGGCAGTTACACTCATCATTTCTACTGAAGAAAGGGGGAAGGAAATCCTGAAAAAAAGAGATTTGTGGGGCTAAAAGTTGCAAAGTGGATAGGTTCTCTGGCATGTTCAAAATAAATATTGCAGAAGTGAGGGCTGCAAGCACTTCGGGTTTGTGGTGCTTAGAGTCCTCCTGTATTTAGTTCCCATGAGCCCAAATCCACAACAGTGCCTTGCTATCTCTGAAAGGAAGTAAAGGGGAATTAAAAAAAAAAAAAAAAAACAAAAACAAGGATGGTGGGGTGGCAAAGTAGGAAAACTGTTCTAGACAAGTGATAGTCTCCACCTTTCATTCTTCCCTTATTATTTTTCACTTTTCAATGTGCCACCCTCCCCCACTCACTACAGCCATAGTAATCTAGATTTACATTTTCTCCTGGCAAACTATTACACTCTGAAGTATTTGACAGAGCCTTTTTTTAAAATCGCTGTTCTGTAAGCATGAGTACATCAAACATGATTTATTGGCACAAAATATTTTTAAATGGTATTTCTAACTTTTCTTTCTGAGAAGATGGTTTTGCCTTTCATTTTGTAGCATGATTATAAATTAATAGTTATGCATTAACCTATATAAGCCACTGGGGCAGTGACAGTGGAATGGAGTCTTCACATATTAACTGTGCAAATACAGACAGGGAGTGAGTGGATGGGAAGAAGTAGTCCAGAAAAGGCTTGGAAAAATAAATCACAAACTGAATGCAACAATAATTAAATGCTTCTGAAAAACAAAGGCATACTTTATGTTGGGTTACACACATGGGCCTTTAGTCTGGGATGTTTTCCAAGTGTTCTATACGGTGCTGGTAAAACTTTAGCAAAAAGTTATAGCAAAAAATTGCCACAAAAATTGCAAAACGTGGATCAACTGCAGAGCGAACAGAGAGATTGTGAAAACTGCTCCTGGAGGCCTGCTGAAGGCATTGGGATTGCTTCATTTGGTGAAAAGGAGACTGTGGTATGAGAACAGTATATTAAAGATATGGCTATGAAGAGAGAAGGAATAAATTCTTCCCATTGTGAATGGGACCAGGAGAGAAGGGATGGAGTTACAGAGGCAGATTAAGGGATCCGAACAAACCTTATAGCAGCAGTAGTTAAATACTGCTCTGAACTGCCGGGGGAGGCTGCTCAGTCTCCACCCAGGTAATCTTTTGGGACTGATTGGCCAAGCACTCATTAGAGGTGGCACTGGTAGAGCTGGTCCCACTGTCAGATGCAGACATGGACGAGATCTCCTCTTCAGGTCCCCTCCAGCCTTGTTTGTGGTGATACTGCTTTCTTCTTAGGACCCTGGCCTCAGATGTTAGCAAGTGAACTGTACATCTTAATATATACAATATGAGCTGGGAATTGTGTTATTTTTCACGAGCTCTCTTGTATTTGGGAGTCTTTAGACTCTATTTTCAGAACTGAATTCTTTATACAGTTTTTCAATAACTGTTTTAATTGATTACAACTGGAGTTCATTTAACCTAAAGCTGAGGAAAATAATATTCCCTCATTATAACGGGTGCAGGTTTTAGAAAACAGGCAAACTAGAAGTTATGTGATTTCTACAAAGGGGGGAAACGAGTGTATATTCTGTTTTCTTTTTGCAAAACTAGCAAAGCTTTGAGATTTCCCAACTATCTGAATATCTCCATTACTTCAGTTAGGAGATTCTCAGCTGGAGGCAATTTTATTTATTTAAGAAGGAAAACCTGAAACTCCATCAGTAAAGATGAAAGTCCAATTCCACACTGTAACTTTCTCTGAGATTTAGAGTATTGATTGAACTTGAGATGTGAATCTATTGCTTGTTGGTTTGGATGTGTAAAGAATATGTAATATGAAGGTAATAACTGGAATTAATCTGAAAAAAGTATGTGAAAATATATATTGTACTTTCATAAAGACTATATTTAAAATTATTGTGTTACATGGAGAAAGTTTTTCTTTCCTTTCTTTTTCCATGCTTCCACCTGTCTCTGTCCTGTTCTGCTTTTCTGGGGGTCACCTCTTTGACCTTTCTGGAGCTGGGAGGGCATAGAGCTGGGCTGTGCCCCTCACAGGGGGGAGTAGGTCAGGCTGGAGAGAAGGGGACAAAAGGTGCAGTGAGAAGACCCAAAGCACTGCCCATCCTGTGTGAATGCTACAGCACTGCCCCAGAAGAGAGGACGAGGGGCTGGCACGGTCCTATCCCCAGCATTTCCTATCCAGCCCCTACTCCTCTCCACTCCCCTGCTCAGGTAAGGAGCCTGGGTGTTTGCTGGGCTTGCCACTGCCTTACAGCAATGGGTTAGGTCAGTGTATGCTCAGACAGGCATATTCAGCTTATGGATCTGCACAGACTCCTTTTGTTGGTGTTGTTTTATTGTCAATTACTTGAACAGAGATGCAAACAACTGCTCTTCTCTGCATCCTTGCCTAGAAAGGGAGATGAGTGATCCTTCTACACACCATAGGTCAAAGATGGGCTACTTGGCAAACAAGCCTGGGCAGTCAGGGGAAGCGTAAACAAAATAAGTTTGCTTTCACCTGCCTTCACTACCTCTGCCCTGCTTGGTTTGTGAAGCTGATGGAAGGTCATGCTGTACTGAAGGAAACAAAGGAAAAAGAAATTGTTTTCATGGCATAAAAGGAGCATGGTGATAAAAACTGTTCTCCTG